TTTTTTTTTAAAAAAAAAAAAAAAAAAAAAAAAAAAAAAAAAAAAAAAAGCCGCTATTGGTTTGGTACCAAGTAATTGCGATCATGGTAAAACGTGAATAAAATCAACTAAAATTTTAAAGTTTGTGTTGACATATATGACGTGAGAATCAAAACACAAAATCATTGATCAACAACATAATATATGCAACCTTTCTTTTTCATTTTTCGCTTTTTAATATAGTCTTGCAATCATAATTTCAATTAAGATGGAAAACTGGGTTTTGCAGGTTGCAAGCGCGGTGAGCAAGACCCAAGAGACTCAGTCAGAGGAAACCGTGGTTGCACCAGCAGCCCCAGTCCCAGAGGCAGAGCCAGCGGCTGCTGAAGAAGAACCAAAGGAGGAGGCTGCAGCAGCAGCAGAAGAAGCACCAGCAGCAGTACCGGCGGAGGTTGAAGTCGAGAGCATGGAAGTTGTTTGGGAACCTAAAGTTGCTGCTGAAGAGCCAGTGGTGGTGGTTGAGGAGGAGAAACCAGCAGAAGAAGTGGTTCCAGAGGTGAAGCAAGAAGAGGCTGCCGTTGTTGCTGAAGAAGAGGCCAAAGAAGAAACTGCAGCTGAGGAAACAGCACCGGTATCGGTCCCAGCTGCTGAAGAAGAAAAAGCAAGTGAAGCAGTAGTTGAGGAGAAAACAGAAGTTCCAGCAGTTGACAAGGCTGAGGAATAGAATATGAAGTGGTTCTGCAATAGTAGGGGTCATCTAGGACTTGCATGTTAAAGTTGTTTTTTCTATTTTCTTTGAAGTTTTTAATTTCATTTAGTTGTTTTTTTTTTTAAATAAAAATAAAAAATTATATCTATTGTGATGGTTTTTGGGAGCTAAAATTATTAATATATATATTTTTTTTGATCAGCAAGAAGAAATCTTTATTGATGAAATCATAAAAGAAGAGTACATCAATAAAGAGGAGCTCGGAGCTACATTAAGCTCGGAGCTCCAGTTGGAGAGAATCCAACACAAAGGGAAACCAAAGAAAACACAAACAGAAAAATACACGCAAGAGAGTACTCTAGCAGCATACACACCCCAGCATGAGAGTAAACAAAAAAGGCAGATTGCACTCCGCAGCAGGTTGCCCACCATTCAGCACCCAAATCTGAAACAAAACCAAACTAAACCAGGAAGCTGACCATCTAAATTGCAGCTGACCATCAAAATTGCAGCAAACAAACCTACAACTCCAAACCTTTGCACCACAAAAGCTTAAAACAGCAGAGGAATTTTTGCATAACTAATGACAATCACATTCTAACTGCATAAACTAGAGGCAAAAACTCGTCACACAGCAGAGACTATTCTGCACAGATTGAGACAACACTCTGCAGCCTAGCATGCCAACCGAGAGCATTCTACAGAAGGACTGGTAGGAAAAAAAAAGGCCTCCTCAAATAGTTCACCCTCTGAAAACACCTCCCAAACTGAATCTGATACACTGTAGATTAAACATGAAATCATGAACTGAGAACAAGTGTTCCTTAAATACTTCTTTAAACCACACAGCCATTTTTAACTTAATCTGGTCTATAATTCCATCCACATTTGGGACAACCTCCTGAAATATACATTCATTCTGATGTTTCCATAGAGACCACATCACTACAAGAGGAAGGGCATTACACATCATCCTTTCCTTTTTATTAAGACCCACCCCTGCCCACCATTCAAGCATGTCCTCCACTGAGGCTGGCAGTGCTCCTTGAATCTTCCACCATCTAATCATTTCATACCACACTTTGCAAGCCACTGGACATAATAGAAGCACATGTATGAGAGACTCAGCTCCAGATTTACATAGACAACATTCTACAGATGCACCAGCAGGCAGAACACTAATTCTGTGCAAAAACTCAGCCGTCTTTAGTTTTCCTTTCCAAGTAAGCCATCCAAAAAATTGAACTCTAGGTGGGACATGTTTAACGCAAATCCTTTTGCTAACTGTGCTTCTATTGCTGGATCCCTCAACCAATAGCTTATACATAGATTGAGCTGAATATGTTCCAGATTCCGAGGCTTTCCAGACAAGAGTATCTTCTGAGTAACACCTAAGATGAGGACCTGCCTCAATCTGACTCACCAATCTGATTAATTCCACTATTTCCCAGTCAAACAGTGCCCTTCTAAACAGAAATGACCATTCACCGACTTCCTCCTTCCTGATCATCATATCAGATAAAGTCACTCTCTTATCAACTACCACCCTATCTACCCTGTACAACAATGGAAATGCATCTTTAAGGCTCAAGTTTTCACACCACTTATCCTTCCAAAACTTGATTCTATGACCATTACCCATTTTCACCTTACAATTGTCCAGAAAAATAACCACTAAACTGCTACTCTGTTCAGATTGTAATAACATATCCTTCCACATTTTAGAACATCTCACATTAGAGATTACTTGAGGGCTCCAACTCCCCTCCTCAATCCTATATTTACTGCTCAATACTCTCCTCCACAAAGCTTTATTTTCCACGCCAAACCTCCACCACCATTTCAACATAAGGCAACTATTCACTTCCTTCACTCTCCTAACCCCCAAGCCCCCTTGGTCTACAGGCTTCGCCACTTCCTTCCATTTTACTAGATGAACCCTCCTCTTCAATTCAGAACCCCCCCACAGAAAGCAAGCTTGAAGCTTGTCCAATTCTCTAGCAATCTCCTGTGGCAACTTAAACAATGACATGTAATATATAGGCAGCGAGGACAGGACAGATTTGATTAAAACAAGTCTCCCAGCAAATGACAGCAGTTTCCTTTTCCAACCAGCTAGTTTGCTTCTGAATTTGTCTAGAATAGGCCACCAAGTTGCTTTTCTACTTGGGTTAGCCCCCAGCAGTAGACCGATGTATTTGAACGGCAAACATTTAACTTCACAGTTCAGCACAGATGCGTACTCAGACATTTCCTCTTCGAGAATACCCACTCCACTAATTACACTTTTATGGTAATTTATTTTCAACCCTGATATCAACTCAAAGCACCTCAAAATCTTCTTTACATTCTTTATCTCCATTACATCAGCTTCACACAATAACAAAGAATCATCTGCAAACTGGAGATGAGTAAGGACTAACCCATCGAGCCAATCTTAACCCCCTTTATTAGCCCCAGATCCAAAGCTCTATTGAACAAAATGCTTAAGCACTCTGCAGCTATGATAAACAAAAATGGGGGCAAGGAGTCCCCTTGCCTCAGTCCTCTCTGTGGACTGACCTCTTCAGTAGGAGATCCATTAACAAGCACCGATAGCCTAGCTGAGGTAATACATACCTTAATCCACTCCACCCATTTTCCCCAAACCCAAAATTAGCCAACATGGAGAGTAAGAAATCCCAATTCAATGAGTCATAAGCTTTCTGAAAATCTAACTTAATAATCACTCCTTTCTTTCTAGATTTCTTCCAACTATCAACAACCTCATTGGCTACCAAAATACCATCCAGAATATTCCTCCCTCCAATAAAAGCCGATTGGTTTTCACTTACGATCTGAGGAATCACTGCCTTCAGTCTTGAGGAAAGAACCTTAGACAGAATTTTATACATTGACCCAACCAAACTGATAGGTCTATAATCCGCCAACCCCACTGGATTCTCCTTTTTAGGTACCAAAGTGATGAAAGAGCTATTGATTCCTTTGACCACCTTACAATTCTTATGGAAATCGAACACAAAATTCAGCACATCAGCCTTCATTACCTTCCACAGTTTCTGGATACAAGCCAAGTTAAACCCATCTGGACCTGGAGCCCTATTCCCATCACAACCCTTGACAGCAGCCCATACCTCTCCCTCAGTAAACTCTGCCTCCAACATATCAAAACAAGGGCTATCCCTCACTGACTTAAATGGACCTTCCAATACAGGCCTATGCTGCCAACCCTCAGCGTACTGCTTCCGAAAATAAGCTAGGGCCTCAAGCTTAACTCTACATGGATCATCAACCACCACATCACCAACAGTTAAAGTATTTATTTCATTTCTCCCCTGCCTATATTTCACTAACACATGAAAATATCTTGTGTTTTTATCACCATAAAAATTCCAGTTAAGCCTCAATTTTTGGAACCACAACCTTTCCACCATTCTTGTTAAATATCCAGCCTGAACTCTAGCCTCTCTTCTTCTACATTTTTCTGCCTCTTCAAGCTCTCTTTTCTCTGCTAACAAATCAATCATATGAAGCTCATCCTCTACCTTCTCAACTTTGTAATAACATTACCGAACACTTCACTATTCCACTTTTTGAGTGCTACTTTCAACTCTTTCAGTTTCTGGAATAACCTAAACCCAGCCCACCCCTCCACCTGATGCTCCCTCCACCACTTTTCCACAAAAGGTAAGAAGTTTGGGTGTAACAACCAAGCATTAACAAGCCTAAAGGGCCTAGGGCCCCAATCTCTCTCATCTTCCATTAGCAGTAAGGGACTATGATCAGACATGACTCTAGGAAGTCTCCACAACTTCAAATTAAATGATTCCACCCACCAAAAACCCTATCAATTCTGCTCCATTTCTCCCCTTCCCTAGCATTACACCATGTAAACCTTCGGCCTAATAAAGGCAAATCATTCAACTCACTACTATCAACAAAATCATTCAACTCCTTCATCTCCTTGTCCCTCCTAGAGCAGCCTTTCCTCTCACCAATCTTTCTAATTTCATTAAAGTCCCCCCCTATATACCAGGGCTTAGAATACTCCTCCTTTAACTTTAGAAGACACTCCCACAATTTACCTCTTTGGCCCACTTCATTTGGTGCATACACATTGATCAAAACACAATCAAAAGAAAAGAATAGAGACACAGAGAGAAGAACAAACCTTCTATTACAGCAGCAACTTGACATCTGAAAAACAGCTGGATCCCAAATACATAATAGGCCACCAGCAGAGCCCTCAGCATCCACAGTCATATATTCCATACTATCCCTAGCCCAAATCTCTATGATCTCCTTTTCAGACATGGAGGCCTTCTTTGTCTCTTGAAAAAGAGCTATATCAATACCTCTATCCTTCAACAACCTCTTAATTTTACTTCTTTTTTCCTTTCTCCCCAAGCCTCTGACATTCCATGTTAGTAGCTTCATCACAACCATTTACACTGAACTCTGACCCCCCAAGATCTTATTAATCTACAAGAACTACATCCCATCCCCTACCCTCCTTGCTCTATCATTTGCCTCAAGGTCCAAGATTTTGGTTAGCACTTCCTCTTCTTTACCTTTATAGTTTATACCCAAAAACTTTCCCATCTGAATAGTTCCCTAAGCCTCTTTAAGCAACGATATGCTTCTAGCTACTCCACTAGCTGTTGAATCTACACCTGATGCTACCGCAGCTGCTGCTCTCCATATAGCACCTCTCGGTCTCAATTTACTAGAAGAGGCTCCTCTATGATTATGGCTTTTTGGACGCTTAAGATATCCCTGCTTCATCTCTCTGATTTTCTTCCCACTAGATTTCGTAACTACTCTTTTCATCCCTCTATTCTTCTGTAGTTTTTTCCTTTCGTTGCACTGTGATTCAGATAAGTCAGAACATATTATTAAAGGGCTCTTTTCAACCTGTAGCCCTCTTTGAAAACCAGCCTTGGAGCCTTGGGTTTGCATCTCCCCTCCTACCCTCATATCCACAGGCCCATTACATAGGCCCATTCCATTATTCCGACCCAGCACCACCTCTAGATGGACCCCCGGTTTGAGCAAACTAGATCCACTCAAGCTTTTAACAGCCTCTTTCATGCCAACCTGCTCCTTACTTTTCTGACCTTCCAACTCACAGCCAATGCCTATGCTCCCAGCTACTTCCATAATGCTATCTGCTATAGCCTCGAGCTCACTGCCAGTAGACTCTGGTACCACCGTTTCAGACTGCCTTGGTGATCCCATCTGCACCTCATCGCTACACCTCCCTCTTTCTGGCCCAACCCCAATACACACCTCCTTCAATTGGTCCAGCTCCCTAGCTGACTCACCAACCAAATCGTCATATTCTACAGCTACACCAGTCGCCATAACTGCTACACCCACCTTCTCACCCTTATTTGAACTGCAGACTCCTACCCCTCCATGTACCATAGAGCTCTCACTCCTCCCAGCCAATATCTGTGGTACCCCAGATAAATGTTCCCACACTCTTACAATTTGGGAATATCCTTTGCACTCCAGATTGATTATTGTATTAATAGGCTCCATACACTTTGTTAAAATTTGAATCCTTGCATATTCAAACGATTCTGGATTGCATATATCACCTTCAATACAAATAACCTCCCCCCATACCTTCCCAATTCTATTTAAAGTTTTTCTATTCCATAAACCCCATGGGATCCCAAAACAGCAGACCCACACCTTACGTTCACCTCCACTATGAACATCAGGATTCCACCTTACAATTTCATCGCACCAATCCCCTATCCATTCCTTCACAGTCCCCAAACTATCCTTCATACACTCCTTAGAGTTGAATGTTAACAACACATCTCTACCTCCTCCATCCCTCACTACCACATTCTCCATGCCCCTTTGCTGTAATTCATATTTAATCTTAACATTGGCATATTCAACTTTAAGACGAACCACTACACTTTCATATAGCCACCTGTTTCCGACTTCCTCTGCCTGGACAGACACAATTCCACTTTCCATACCATGACTATTGTTAATGACCTCTGCATATGTCCGAACACCTGCTGCTGGCTTTCACACACTGCCCTCACCCCTTCCACCATGTGGAAAACCTTTTGTTGGAGGAGGATATCAGGTTTTGACTTCCATATCTTTCTTACCATAATCCGCATGCTTCACTACCAGTTGTTTATCATCCACCCATATCCCATTAGCCTTCTGCACTGCTACTTCTGCTGCCACTTCATAATCATACCGGACAAAAGCAAACCTAGTGTTCCTCACTCTTCTTCTCTTCAGAGGAATGTAGACATCCTTCACCACTCCAAACTTCCTGAATATTTCCTCCAACATCTTCAAGTTCATTGATCTGGGTAGATCATCAACAAAAATCGTGAATAATTTTGCATTAGCTTCCTTTCTCCATCCTCCTTTACTTCCTCTCTGATTCAATACCGGAATCCACCCTCCTTTCTGCATTCCTCACACAACTCTGTTCAAGCTCAATTTTTGGACTCAAACACATTCTATCTCCATGATCGAACACAGATAAATCTGAACAGAGTTTTTAGAGAGAGAGAGAGAGAGAGATTTGCAGAGAGATCGAAGATAGAAGAAGAGAATCGAAGAATGATAATGCTCTGACCTGAGAAAAGGAACAAATCAATATTTAGTGCGAGCCCGATTCATAAGCACTCCGCTTGTTCCTCCAGAACTAGGATCGCTCCTCTTGTTCCTCCCGCGCTGGGAAAAGCTGATGCACTTGCCGGAAGACCGATTCCTCGCCGGAGAATCACGAACTCAGCCGAAATCCAAGACCTCAGATCACAGAATTGCGGATCGCTCCTCTTGTTCCTCCCGCGCTAGGAAAAGCAGATGCACTTGCCGGAAAACCGATTCCTCGCCGGAGAATCACGAACTCAGCCACAAATTTCCAACACTAATCTCTCCCTTTTTCTTCTTCTCTTCTTAGAGAATAATGTCTATAAAATTAGTTCACCTAAGATGAAGATGTTGGTGGAAGAGACACAAGGAGTGGAAGTCAATCCTTGAGTATGAAGTATGAAGTATGAATTTTTGGGTAGAAAGATGAAGAGTAAAAAGAGAACGTGCTATATACATCTTTGATTAGGTCTTTTGTGTAATTAATTATGACTTGTTACACATTATAATATTAGTTATAATATTATTTTAGTTACAATAAAATAAAATAAAAAGTTATTTGGTTCACGTGATATTTGGTCATAACTCAATTTTTAGTTATAACTCTTATAGTATTAAGTTGTGCCATTTGCAATAATTAAACACACAGATGAGAGGGTGTGTACTATAAAATTACCCATTACCCTTACATGGTAATTTATAATTGAATAGTGATATCACGTGTTAATGATGACGTGATGTCACCACTTGTAACAAAGTTTTTATTGTGAGACATGGGTTATTAGGCCTTTTGGTTTTTCTCGGACTTATTTTGATCATTCAAACTATTTATATTGTAAAATTCATCAAGTTTATTATTCATATAAAAAATCAAATTAATCGAATATTCATAACTCATGATTGGGAAAATTAAGTTAAAACTATCTAAAATTTTAAATCACATTTTTTGTATAGTAAAAATCACATTGACCTCCTAAGACAATTGCTCAAATTATAATTATCCCTACTAATATGCAAATTTGCATAAGCTTTTATTGATATTTAACTCACATTTCATTTTACCTCTTGCGGTTAGGGATCATCATAGATATCCACAAAATGTTTATCGTGTCATCAATAATAAAACACATTATTATTACATTCTTGTTTGCACTTAAACCATGTCTATACCCTTTATTCTTTTTTCTTTTTTCTTTTTTTAGCTTTTTTTTCCTTCTGTTTTGGGACATTTGATAATATTGCCAATCAATTAAAGCAGTTTTGATGAAAGGCATAATGACATAGCACTATTGCATTTCTTGCAAAAGAGAAATTTACAAGAAAAAGATTTGGACGTAAAATAGCTACCTAAAAACACAAAAAACAAAAAACAAAAAAATACAACAAAAATGACATGATGAAAAAAGAGAGGGAAAAAAAAAGGTACATAAACAAGTTTGTGCATCCTTTTTTTCTGTTTTTATCAGCCACTTATCGGAATATACTGATGAAGTTCCTTCAACACGAGAGAGTTCGATTGGAGTTCACTGTCATTCACTAGGGTTTGAACAAGTTGGTTGGGAACTATGCACTTCTCCGAGGAGTACAACTTCTCTTGAATGCGTGGAGATGCAACAAGTTCTTGTAGTTCTTGACTATGCACCGGTTCTTCTTCATTGTCCTGCACATACACACATTGCCAATGTTGCATTTTAACAACAATTCATGTTGATGGAATATATAAATATATATATATATGATAAGCTAAATATCAAAATGATGCCTAATCTAACCAAGCCTCTACAAGTTGAGTTGGGATCCCCTTCTTGCAACTCTTCCTTGCAATCCTCCTTGCAACGGCTGATATCAGCTATTGAAACATTCAACGGTTGATTTCAATTTCTTTAGCAGCTGATCTCAGCTGTGGGATGTTGCAACAGCTGATCTCAGCCGTTGCAAAGAGGATTGCAAAGAGGAATTGCAAGAAGGGGATCCAGACTCTTAAAAGTTAGGCCTTCGACAATAAATATTTTTTTATGAGTCTTGGGTGACTGTGTAAATAGTTTAATGATTGGGCATAAAACAAATTCCTTTCAATATAAACACGTCTAAAACTTAAATTGGATGAAAATGTTTATGAACAAAGTTGCAGTGAAAAATAAGAAAATTCAGCTGATTTTATTTTATTTCTGTTCACTTAGCTAATTTTTTATTATTTATTTTTTAATAATTTTGGACCATCACTTTTTTTCAACAAAATCAAAACCTCTAGATTCTGGCCTAATTTATGTGTACATGTGTATTACTAATCCCATTGATTTTCTTAAGTATTATTAATTCTATTCAAAATTTCATATACTATTACGAATCAAGACAAACTCACTAAAACTATACGTATATACTACATTATAAAATAAACTCTTAGTTGGTGTTTGACATAAAAAATAAAATTGTGTAACGTTAATTCTTATATTAAAATTATCCAAACAAATAAAAACATATATTTTTATAATTATCTAAACTATTTCAATTAATAACGGTTTCAATAAAAAAGTAAGAAAATCGTCTACCAAAATAATTTAGTTTCTAACTCCCTCACCCCTCCCTCTAAACCATCTCTCATTACTACATGGTCACTACTATATATCTTTTATCCATCTATCAGTCTATACTACTGTAAAGAAAACAACCACAGTAGAATAAACGAAGCTGGCTTATGCTGTAACTGCTTGGAGCAGTTTATGACTTTATTTAACTATTTTAATAAAAATCATGCAAACGAGGGAGAGGGAGAGAGAGATTATAAAGTGACCTGAATTGAACCCATCATTCCAAGAACTCCAACTTGGGCTTGCAAGAACTTGATATACTTAAAAGCAGCTTGAAACATTTCAGCAGTGTTCATCTTCTGACCGCCCGGAATAAGCTTCCCGAGCTCTTGAGTCTTCTCTGTTATCTTCCTCCTCCTCTGCCTCGCAGCGATGGTCTGAGCCGACAAACATCCTCCATTCGGTTTCTTCACATTCTCAATACTCTCAACACCACTTCCACAACTATAAACCAACGGACTATGGAACTCCGGCAGAGGAACATGAAGCTCCGGTGAGAATTCAGGCAGCATAGGAGGGTTAATTGAAACAAACCCATTTAACAAACCGGGCGCGATTAAGTCTGAGTAGTACTGATCTTCATAGCTCTTTTGGCGTTTTGGGTATGGATAAAAATCGAGTTCTTGGGGCGGAAAGAGTTCGAAGTTTGAAGAATTGTGATCAAATGTTGGAGAAAAGTATGGGAAGAGATTGCTATAGGCTGTTTCTGAGAGGATTATCGACTCGTAAGTGGTTGGGTCTGGGATGAGAAAACTGTCTTGGAAGCCAAGAAAATCCATGGCTAGCTCTGGTTGTGTTTGTGGTTGTGGTTGTGGGAAGCTATCTGTGTCTTGGTTGAGATGTTCTAGTGCTCCATAGTTGGAGTAAAAGCTCAGAGCCATGGTGACTAAGTATCTGAAAACGCAAAAAAAGAAAGAAGTAACTAAGTAAATGAAACTTTCTTTTCTTTTCTAGGAAAAAATAAAAGAAAAAAGACAATGCAAGAATGAGGTCAAAGACGTAAAGAAACAAAAAAAAGCCATTAGATATGAGAGAGAGAGAGAGAGAGAGAGAGAGAGAGAGAGAGAGAGAGATACCTGAGGAAGAGAGTGAGATACTGTCCTTAAACCAGTTTGATTAGTGATTGTTTGTTGAATGAGAGTGGACCTGAGAAGTTAAAAACCTTATCAAACTATACAACTAACAATGTTATGAGAGAGAGAGAGAGAGAGATGGGCGAAACGTGGGGAGTTGGAGATGAATAAGGAGAGTTCAGTAACAAACTCCTAATAATTAGGTGTCCACTTGGCGCTCAATTGTGGTTTCTAGGGTTTCAGTTTTCAGAACGTTTTGTTTGGCTAATGGCGGCTGATTAAACCAACCGTTACTCATTTATTTTTATTTTAATAACCTAACCGTTACTTTAAGTGGATAAATATAAAGAATAAATGAAACAAAAAAGTTTATTCCAACAAAATAAAAATGAAAGCAAACTATGAAAAAATGGAAAGTAATTTTGAGAAATATCAAATAAATCCTATTTTTTTATACAAATTTTTTGTTAAGTTTTATTAATAATGATAAGAGGGCTAATTCATGTGCTAATAGATTTGATAAGAACTTCATTAGAAAAACAAGGTTTATCACAGTTTTTTTTCATAATTTTAATGAAAGAGAAATTATTTAGGTAACATTTACGTTTTTTATTCATGTTTATAAAAATTTTATAAACTGATTTTGTTTGTTTTTTAAAAAACATAAACTATGAATGCGTTTGGTTTGAACAAAATGTTTGAAATTTTTTAAAAATATAAACTAAAAAATATATGTTTATAAAAATTTTATAAATTGATTTTGTTTATTTTTTAAAAAAACACAAACTACAAATGTGTTTGGCTTGAACAAAATGTTTGAAAATTTTTAAAAGTATAAACTAAAAGATATGTTTGTTCAGGTCTAAAATATTTATATTTATTTTTTATTATTTATAACAATGGGATCATACACATTATAATTGAAAAAAATTATTTGAAAACAAAATATTTTAAAAAATTTAATGGAAAAAAATTTATTTGAAAAAAAAAATTAATTGAAAAAAAAAAATTATTAGTCAAATATTTAAATTTCTGATTAAAAACCAACATAAACTCATTTTTTGAGTTTATGTTTTTTTTTCTCTTCAAATTAATAAACTGAGACAACCATTTATAAATTAAAAAAATTATCAAACAAGTTTTTTATGACATTTTTTAAAATTTTTATAAATATAAACTAAAAACTGAAAATGAAATGATCTCCAAACAGACTCTTAGTGTTTCAGAAATATCAAGTAACAATGTAGCCACCCGAAAAAAGTATATATAACGAAATTTTTTAAAAAACAATAAAGACAAAGTAACCATATGACTGCATGTTATTGAACAGACATATGGCACATTAGAATTTCTGATGTAGTAGGATAAGTAATTTAAACTTGATAAGTTTATGTATGCACCCAATTATGTCAAAAAAAAAAAAAAAATTGATCTTATTGCTTGGATGATTAAAAAAAATCAAGAAAAAAATAAATGGAAATTTTTTACAAATTTATTTGGTCATAAATTTTATAAAAATACTTATAATCTGATAATTGATAACTCTATATTTGGTCTGATAAATAAACTAATTTAGCAGGCCCAATTAAATCAGGGTAAAGCCTCATATAAACTGGCCTTAGAAGATTGTTTGTACCTAAAAAATATGCAACCTCCATTCATTTTAATTTTTGAATTTGCACAAAGTACTTACTAGTTCCGACTCTAAATCATAAGACAAATAACTCCTTGCTATTTATTTGATTTTTTTTGGGGTAGTCATAAGTACTTGAAGGACATGTTTGATTGACATGATTAGAGAATGAGATTGAGATTATTAATCCGTAGGCCTAATAATCCTATGTTTGTTTTAAAATTTTGTTTTACGATTATTAATCTAATGGATAATTAATCTAACAAATTTGTAGGATTATTAGTAATGGGATAGGGGTGAGATTATATATCCTGAGCTAGAAAATAAAATAAGAACTCTTTTACTCTTGATTTTTACTCTTGATTAAAAATTAAAACACTTTTTATTTTTATATAATTTTATATTTTAGAAGGCTAAAAATAATTTTTAAAAATTTAAAAATATTTTTTGATATTTATTTTATCAAATTAGTTTATATTTATAAAAATAAAAAAAAATAAAAAAAAAAACCAAACATGGCCTTTTTTATTTGTATTTTTATTTTTCTTTTATTTATTTATTTATAATTTTTTTGAAAACCACATTTATGAAGAAATTTTGATAAAGTAAAGATTGTGAAGGAATATTGATGAAAGGTAAGATTAGAAAAGAAGATAAATAAATTTATAATTTTACATTCATATGTTTTCTTATCCAATACAAATCAGACAATGGACAAAGGGATAATCTATCCTGCAAATCCAATTGGATAGTGAATACCATACTAATTTAATGGGATTATTAATACCTTCACTATTAATTTTGTGAATCAAACATGACCGAAAAGTATTATTATCCATGTCTATTTCTTATTTTCTCTCTCTTTTGAGTCAGAAATCTATTTTCTTTCATTTTAATAAAAAATAAAAACTTTTTTAAGCATAATAGCATTAAAAAAGTGAAGGGCAAGAAGAGTTATTCCTTTTGTTTACATTGCGTAGGAGCTATTATTGTTTGTTTTTCAACACGTTATTATTAACTTGTCACTCAGTTTTTTTTTATCATTATTATTTACCATTGCGTAGGAGTTATTATTGTTTATTTTTCAACACGTAATTATTAATTTGTCACTCAGTTTTTTTTCATTATTATTTACCACTATCCATCTTCTACCTCTCTATACGATTATAACTGGAAGAGTTGAGAGGTTTATTTTTCAACACGATATTATTAATTTGTCACTAGTGTTCGCATTTTAATTTTCCAAAATATCCTTTTGAACTTATTTAAAATACAAAATTTTATGGAATTTTTAATTGGAGGGTGTTATTGGGTCTCTGTGGGCCTATCATGGAGTCTGTATTGATGATTTGAACCATTTACTATACAGGATTCATCGAATATTTCATCCCTGCAAGAATCACGTTAATCGGATATCGAGACACTTTATCAGATCATAATCGTGTCAATAGTTTAATTTAAAATTTATATTTACCATTGACACAAGCGTGATCGAATCAAATAGATTTTGATATCTGATCAATATAATTTTTTACAAGGATGACGTACTCGATCGACCCTATATATTGAACGGTTTAGATTATTAATGTGGATTCTATGATAGAGTCACATATACCCGACAACACCCTCTAGTCTAATTTGGACGGGAGTGGAGCCCATGATATTCGGTTTAATAGACAATACCCACATCATTTGAGCAATACGCATATATGCCCTTAAATCAAAATTAAAATTTAAAAAATGTTTGGGAGCTCTAAAATATGAGCTCTAAAGGAGCTCTAGGTGGTGGGTCCCACCTATTGATGTGATATGAGTAATAATACATCTTTCTAATTTTGAAGCTTTAATTGAGCTCTAATGATGTGACAGAGAATAAAAAAGAATTTTAAAAATAAAACCAAAGTCAAAACACCACATCACAATGGGGTTCGCTTATATTAGAGCTCCTTTATTAGAGCTTTCAATCATTTTTCGATGTGATATTTTAGCTTTGATTTATTTTTTTTATTTTTTTTTTATTTTTGAATTTTCATATCATTAGAGCTCAATTAGAGTTTCAAAATTAGAGGTATGTATCATTGTTGTTAAAAAATTTTCAAAAATCAAGAGCAAACCCATCGAGTGGCCAAACACGGTTAATTAATAGATAACGTAGCAAATATGTTAGATAATTTCTTAATTATAAATAGGGTAAATTACACTGACACCTCCTGAGATTTAGATTTATTACAGTTCCCCCCTTATCTTTTGAAAATTGCATCTCCTCCCCTGAGATTTAAAGTTTCATTACAGATTCCCCCTTCATCAATTTAATTTTTTTAAATACCAATTTTTCCCTCATTGGGTAAATTACATTGACACCCCTCATATTTTAGAAATTTCAATCTCCTCCCCAAGATTTAAAGTAGCATTACCAATTGCCCCATCGGTTAACATTAGTTGGAAAAAAAATTCATTGAAAAAAAAATTTTGTTAGTAAAATTTTTAAATTTCTATTTAAAAACCAATGTAAGTTCATTTTTTGAATTTACGTTTTTTTTCTCAAATTTACAAATTGCGACAACCATTTATAAACTAAAAAAATTATCAAACAATTTTTTATGACAGTTTTTAAAATTTTTATAAATATAAATTGAAAACTAAAAATGAAATGGTTATCAAACAGGTCTCAGATGGTAAAAATGCCATAAAATTAACAAATAATTAAATAAGTTACCAACATAAAAAATGACTTATCAAAATATTCTTAGGCTATGTAATTATTTTTTTTTATTTTTTATTTCTTAACCAAGTTAATTTTTAATTTTCACAAAACAATTTCTAAAAATCAAATCATACATATGTAGACGTCTCCGAACGCCCCGGGAGGAACGAGCTCCCGTTCCGTTCGATATTCAGGACTCTCAAATTGTCACGGTTCGTAATCTGAACCAAAGAGTCCAAATCCGGCAAATCGTTTTGAGAAAACAGATTTTTGAAAGAAGTGTCAAACATAGACTGCTTTGCCAGATACAGAGTCGCCACCTAAATATTTTATTTTGGGGAAATTTAGGAAACCCTGACTCGTTTGCCTAAGGCCACGTGTCCGTCATCACCAAAGTTGCCTCGGCTCGGGAACTTGGGTACGATTGGGGAAGGTCACTTCGTGAGCACCCCC